CCAGGTTGGTGGGACGGGTTGGTGGGAGATAATTTACCAGAGTGGGTGTAACTCCTATCGAGGATGCGCGGGTACAAAATAGGTACACAGTTCAGTCCGGTTTAACCCAGTTTACAATACGTAGTTACTAGAGAAATGTAATTCTCTAGTGAATTTATAAACGACATTGATAAACAGAGCCGTTGAGTTCCCGAGCCCATTACACTTAATGATATACCTTATTAACATTGTTTTATTGTATTTTACCGTACCAAAAAAAACAATCTTGTATGAAAGCAGCGGCCGGCTAGGCTAATGTACGTGCGTAATTCACCCCGGACAGACAGTTAATTAGGGGCCGGTGAAAGGGGGGGTCAGGTGGGGACGGTCTCAGATTATTTTTGAGTACGCTAAATTATTTAAAACCTCACGGTGTAAAATAACTTTTGGTTGGAGTTCTATGGAGGACCCTACAACCCGGAATGAAGTTACTAAAAAGATAGTCTGGAGGGACAGCAAGCAAAGGGTGATTTCCAGCCCATAGTATTAACAGACTTAAGTACTTGGTGAAACGGCAATATAAAGAGGAGGTACCTTACGAGAATTGTAGAGCTATCTATGGGATGACATTATCAGAATATATAAGGACATGTTTTTATAGTATTTTAATCAGTAGCACTTCGGGGAATCAGACGATATGTTCATCCAGTGGTTAGGAATACCTTCGGTGGGGCTCGAACATTGCATATGTACCTAACCGAAGATGGCGGAAAACATTATGTCGAACGGAAAACACAGGTAGACACGTGTTTGAATAGAGCAGGAGTAAGCCGTACACGCGCTTGGAACACTCTCCCTCCTCGCTGAGTCTATCCTTCGCCGTCTAACTAGGCCTCACCTCGACTAAAGTAAAGGATGACCGACTGAGCTCGTCGAAGACGATTTAATGGCATGCGGTGGACGCCATCGTTTCTACGAGAACGTCACCGCAGTTTATGTTGTCCTTTTTGGTACAATCCAAATGGACTCACTTATCGGATTACGGAGGTCGGTGTACTCAAAGGCCGTAACGGAGTCAAGTCTTGTACGAAGAAAGATCGCGTGATTTTTGTGTTTCATTGTACATAAAACATTCAAAAAAGTGGACATTAACATCTTCGTTATTTACTCTTTTATTCTGACTGATTCTTTTTTACCTACTGTTTCTTTCTTTTTACAAAGTGATGAGAATACCGGAGGCATTTTTTGCTTTACTTTTTAGTTCTTCGGCGTTATTGTCGAAGAACTAAAAGAGAAAGTGGTTGTAGTTATATCACCACCCCTTTTTAACGACACGAGTCCCATGACACACCTGTTCTTTTGTGGAGCTTCTCTGTGAACACAATGTAAGTCAATTGGTCACGATTTAATTTTTGTCAGTGGTAATACTTTTGTTCTCTTATATACCGGGAAGACGTAAAGTAGTTTAGGGCGGAGGAGCTGACGGCGCTGAGGAGCCGGGAGGCCATCACTGGGCTTATTAGTCTGCGCGGTACAACTTCCTGTAGAGTAAGGATTTACGTGAGCTCCTGGCCTCCTAGCTCGCAGCTCCTCCCAAAGAGACCTCCTCCGATATCTCGGCTCCTTCAATCGTGACTACCCAGGAGGTGTCCAGGAGGTGCCGAGAAGCCACCCTACGTAAGGCCCTTGCTCTCTACCAAAGTTATCAGCACTGGTGCCTGCCGAATGGAGTTGGTTAGCTGTCCGACGTATGTCGGGCGACCTATCAATAAAATAATTGACGAAGTAGGCGCTTTGCGTTACAAATGTCACTCTTGTCGACACTCCAGGCACGTCTTCGCTCTCGCCACACATTTATTATATAGTGAGCATATTGTCAGGGGTGAGAGAAATAAACGAAATCATCCATTTAGATGTTTGTTTCTTCAGCTATAAAAAATTTTTTGGTAAATCACGAGTGTATTATTTTTATGTGTTGCCGCATTCGGACAAAATCCTCGACATCCCCGCACACACACCACATTCACAACACCACGGTGTATGGGAATAGTTGAGGGGCTAAAAGCGCCCCTCTGAAGGGGCTACAGTTAACGGAAGGGCAAAGAGGGCCCAGTATAAAGAGGAGAGGCGTAAAGAGGGCTAGACTGTGTTTAGTCTAAATGTAGTGCTGACAAGGTGAAGCTGAAATTATGTCGATGTGGTACACAAACCAAAGGTAACCGCCCCGTACCATTGTGCAGTGGAAATCATCGCGCGGCGTGGAGTTTCAGACTCTCCCACTCTGTCTATAGTGTCTTTTTGCTTGTTCTTGTAGCTGTTGATGAGCTAGAGAGCGAGTGGGGAAGAACATTTTATTTCCAGGTCGGGTGTGTATACGAGGTAGTTCTGCGCACGAGTGTCCGGCGTTCCGTCACGTGAATGTTGTGTTACTGGTTTAAATAAGGTTAGATTGTCGAGGCGCTAGGTGATCGTGGGGGGGGGGGGAGGGTGAAACGTAAAACTTTACGAGGGCTTAAAGACTCCCATTTGGACTCTTAACCGGAGATCACTCTGACGTTCCTTAGAACCACAATACTAAACTAGTCCTAAATAGGAAATTGCGGGTGTATTTTAGTTAGAGTTCCTGGGGTGAAGGTAGATTGCGGTTGTAACGGTTTTAATCCGTATAGAACGGAGTTTTGCTCGTCTCTTTTGCGCAGATACGTAAAACGAAAAGAAGGGTCCGAACCTCATAGACATTGAGAAAAATTAATGTCCCACATGTTCGTTCGTAGTTCAGGCGAAGTGACTAAGTTTTACGACGTCGAGCACAGATTGGTTCTCGTCCTTTCCCTTGGTGTTAATGGGACAAGAACCGACGGAATGTGACCAGGGCATTATCTGTGTCTAGTCGTACAATTTATGTGAGAGAGGCGGATGGTTCGGAATTCGCCGCTTCCGGCGTAGGAGATGGGAATTTGCTTGATTGGGGATGACAGGCTCCTAACGCAAGGTTCTTACGTCCAAACACCAACAAGGATCTCAGGGATTTTTCATGTTACCCCTGCGGTCTCGGACAAATAGTTCGAGGTGCAAACACCTGTAGTCGAGGTCAAACCACAGCCCGCGTCTGTCGGGACTGGCAAAAATCTCGCATGCGAATTTGCGAAGGGAAAAAGCTATCGGCAATATCACTCATTTTATTTTAGTTGATCTACGTAACTGCTCTATGGCAACCGGAGAAGTGGATGATTGTTAAAATCAAGATGGAGAAAGTGAATTTAGGATTTTGAATCTAGAAATAATTTTGAAAAAATAGGGGTTTGGGGGGGGGGAAGAGGGAGAGACTGGA